CTGTGTGCGTTGGGAAGAAGAAAACATGCAAAACTACAATAATAGGCACTGACGTTCACTGTCAACATTAATTTATTCACAAACGTTTTTATTTTTAGAGAGCAAAAACACAGTAAAACATCATGACAGAGAACACACCAATAGAGCTTGCCAGAAGTGTGTGTGTGTGTGTGAGTGTGTGTGTGTGTGTTGAGATGTGGGTGGAGGGGGTATTAGTCACCAGAAATGGCAGAAAGCCTTTCTTTCTCCCTCTCTCTTAGTAAGTGGGTCACTCCATCTGGAGCAGAATATGGAAAAAACAGCAACACAACATTTTCTACCAAACAACTCAGACACACACCCACTCAACAACACTTGATTGTGTTAAACTGAAATCAACGCAATATAAAAACATAAAAATCTTCTGATTACTCGTTATGATTGGAATAATAGTTTTAAGCTAGGTGCTCTCCAATATTAGTCCGTGCTCCTTAACTAAAGCTCATTTGTGAACAATGTAATGGTCCAAAAGAAATCTGGAAATCTACATATGATTCAAGACAGTTTAATTTGTTCTTCCTTTTTTTAAATCTGCTGTTGCTGGGAGGGAGGCAGGACCCATCCTGGACAGGTCACCGGTCTATCAAAGGACCACACCGAGACAAGCGAGACAGACAAATTAAGAGGCCATTTTTAAAATGTCGTACCACCGTTTTCCTGTTACTGAGGTTTTACAGCACCCGATCATAAAATAGGTTTTGATTTTGAAATTGAATACTTAAAATTCAACAGCAAATTTGAATAGCCCAGTAGGTTTGCAGTGGGTTTTTTTTAATCATGAAATATATTGTGGTTCCGAACGCAGAGGAGGAAACGTTTAGGAAATGTCCTAATCAACTTCTCCAAGTGACTCTTAATCTTAAATATTTTGATGCTTAAGCATTTAAATGTGAGTTCTTGAATGAAATGCCAGCGGTAGCTTGTAGCTTGTAAATAATCTAGAACAATGTACAGATACTGTAAACTTTCCACCAGAAAGTAGAGTTGTTTTTTCACTTTTTATTTACTTATTGCTATGGCTCTTCAATCACTTTCAATCTAAACAGGGAAGCATTCTTGTCAATTAAACTTTCCCACCTTGAATTTTAGCCGATGTGGTAACAGGTATTATTTGTCAAATTAGTGAGGAAATGTAGATTTAGCTTACTGTCAATACAATAAAGTCTGGGTAAAATAGCCTGTAAACAATAATAGCATTAATTGATTCATCCATTTTGTAACCCACGTATTCATGTGGGGGGCTGGAGCCTATCCCAGCTGACAGTGGGAGAGAGGCGGGGACACCCTGGACCATCGCAGGGTCACACAGAAACAACCAACCACACACACTCACATTCACATTCACTCCTAGGGGCAAATTTGGAGCGCCCAATTAACCTAACATGCATGTTTTTGGACGGTTGGAGGAAGCTGGAGTACCCAGAGAGAACATGCTAACTCTAAACAGAGAGGTCCATGTCCCCTGGGTACTCAGGAAAAGTCTTCATGGTGGAATTTATCGGTAAGAATTGTGACGAAACACAAATCTTGGAAAAATCTTATTAAGCAGTTAAGTTTATTTATGATTGTTTATATAGTATTGAAAGATATTCTGATGCAAATTTGTTCCAAATGCTGACCATGACATTAGTCCAACATGAAAATGCATATAAATAGTTGACTAAAATTATTATTGATTTCAAGAAATCAGTTTTGTGAAATTAAGCATTAATGACAGTCGTTTTTTGTGTTTAGAAATCTGTAGTCTGAAAGAAGAAATACAAATTCTGTGGTTTGACTTAAGGTGCTACTTAGAGATTTTCAGGCTCCAGTTTTCATTCTGAAGCTGAGGCTTTTTTGACTGACCTGAGCATCTACAACATTATAAGGATTTCCACGAAAATAGTAATTACCTTCAGTGACTATGTGCTTGAACTACTCATCATAAACAGTAATATTATTACATGTGAAGGTACCTGTTACTCTGTGGCCAAACCTTCCCATCAGCCACACTGTAAGTATTATCTTCACATCCTATAAATGTGCAAAGAAACTTTAGTATTCTATGATCTCAAGTCATTTTTCAATATCAACAATCTTGAAAACAATCATTTCTAAAATCTTTCAGAAATCTTTTCTCCAAAAAATCCTCAATGACTCATTTATGGATTATTCACATGTTTCTGTGAAGTTATTTCTTTAAACTAAGGTAAAAGACATCCAATTTAACCCCACAATCACACCTCAGAGCTAATTGACAAGATACTGTGCTAAGGAATTAGCAACATTCTATAGATAACATGTTTACTTGAAATATGGTTGTTGACATAAAGCAAAGTCAGGGTGTACAGAGTTCACACTAAAGCAAAGTGTTTCTTTTTTTCCATTTCAAGATCAAATAAACTAAAAAATATAAAAATTTAGTGGGATACCAAAATGTTTATTCCAACAGTAATGTTCTGAGTACGTTTTAAATGTGGGGGAGCAAAAGGTTTAATTTATTAAGTGGCTTAGTTTCCAGTAAAACAAAACGTTGAGCCTGTGAATTAGGGAAGAATTCAATATACATCTTCTCAAAACTTAGTCATGTCTGAAGTAATTACAGTTCCACTTAGTAACATATTTTCTTTTAAAAAAAGTTACTGAAGTAAGAAATTTTGATCAACACAGAATAGAGTGACTTATTAATTATGTTACAAATATCACGCAGTGACCTCTTAACTCCATTTTTACAAAAAAAAGAAAACCAGCCATGGCTGAGCCTTTTCTCAGTTGTAAATTCACACAAATATCTGAGCACTGCAGAGCAGAATGAAGAAAATAATAACTGTTTACTTTAAAAAAAAAAAAAAAAAGAATAAATAAATACATCAATGAATTGTTATAACAAATCAATAGGTCATATACACAAGTATATTGATAGCAAATTTGTACATTTCCTCAAAAATAGAATAGTCAGAGATGTGAAAAAACCCTCATCTTTCAGCTTAGGAAAATATTTGTTAGATTCTTGCCAACAAAAAAAAACATTCTAATACAGTTCTCTCGTTTGTAACACATAACACAACAAAAATCTTTTTCCCATCTGGCACTGGCTTTTGGTGAAGACTGTGGTGGAGATAGAAAAAACAGGTTTACATCTTTCTTCACACAAACATAATTCTCTGACAGCTAAATGATTATTATGAATTGACTGAACAATAAATCCAGTGCAAAACAGTCAATAATAACAAAAAGAGCTTAATTTAAAGTCATTTTGTAAGCTTTGAGACAAAATGTACATCAGGACAATGCTTGTTTTCTGTCTGAACCACTTTATTAATATATTATGAATCACTGTGTATATGTAAAATGTATCCATATACTAATAAAAAAAAAGAAATCCTTGAAATGTACTTCCATTTAGAGCGATTCCAAAGTACCCTGATAAAAAGAAGCTTGGCTCACAGACGTCAACTGTCAAACATGTGCATAATTTGACCTGAAATTACCTATAACTGTGGTGATGGTGTATACATTTCAGGCTATTTTCATAATCCATTTGGATTTTCTTTTAAGATCTTCTAATGTCCAGTAAAACACAATTGATTATGTCCGCAACACTGTTAAGGATCTTAGTTTGTCTCAAAATACCATACAAACCTACGGAATATGTCAGGGACTTGTTTTTTTTAGACTTTTTTCAGCACACACTTTAGAGAAAAGATGTTCAATATCCTTGGAAACCTCTATAAAATCCCATAAGCACCCATTACAACATCCTCCAAATGCAATATAAATCCCTTTGATATCCTCTAAATTCCCATTTAGGAGAAAATATCTTACATAGTTCTTACAAAGACTATCAAGAATGTCAGGAACAAAGTTCAGGAACCATAACTCAGATTTATTGTCCTGTACAACCACCAGGACAGACCTCAGGACCTCATCTGAACTTAGAGAGCATTCTCAGAGATCATTAGTACCTGCACAGTTCTGAGTAGGATGTTCTGCATATATTCTGCAAGTATCTGCATATATTCTGCAAGTATCTGCATATATTTAAACTTTATCTGTACATCTGAACTTGAAATGATTTATGTAGGCAGCAAAATAATCAATACATCCTACAAACAGGAACATAAATAAATCACTATATTTTACACTGTTGGCCAAATTAAATGCATATGTTAGACTTTTTATATCTGCAATTTTTTGTAAAAAAAAAAAAAAAGTCTACTTTTTCCTTAGAAAAGTCTACACCCTGCCAAAACCCATAATGTGTTTTCAGAACATAGTAACAAATTATGTTATGGAAAGATGTAAATGTCTTTCCATACGTAATAAACAGTATCATTCTTTTAAAAATCATCAGTTTTTTAGTCATGTTCATCAATAAATCTGCACACAAACAAGTGAAGTCAATTATATGACAATAATTCATTGTGATATCCCAACTATAATTACACATTTTTTTACAGTATAGAAAACTTAAAAATAAATAAAATAATATTATGTAAAAATCTAATCTGACCATTGATACTAGTATGAGATTTGTTCTGTTCATAATGACAATACATTTTTCAGGAAATTTTTTGTTAATGTATTATTTCTCCTATTATAGAAGTCAAATACGCCATTGCCTGATCCTCAAACACCTGAAATACCTCCCATGAAAAAGTCAAACGTACAAAAGGATTTGAAATCAAGTTGATCAGTGCTTTGCACACAGAGAACAAAGAGTCAGTTTTGTGAGCTGAAAACTTACTGAGATGTCCATTCTGGAAGATATTAAAGACACTTTAAAATAGACGGAACTTCAAACTTTACAATCTTCCCCAAAAAGTTTTCTCATCACAAGTGTGTAAACTAAAGCTGAGCTGTAGTTATAGCCATGTAAAGATATTGCAATAGTCAGATGACATCTCTGTCTCAGTTTGAACATGTTTTCTTAACATGTAATCGTAAAAGCTATTTGCAAAATATGACAATGACAACATACCTACAGTTCTGACAAGAACTGAAAGTAATCAGAGTACTTTTTTACACAGAAATAAATCACTGATTTTGCTATAATGTTATGTAGTGCTTTGTTTTTTTGTATAAAAAAGCTTCTCTTGTCAGACAGTAAAAATCTTCTTTTTCATATTTTCAAAAGTTTAGAACAACCAAAATGTTAATTCCTGACAGTAAAGTTTTCAGTGTGTTTTCATTGTGGTTGAAAAAATGTTTCTAGTAATGTTTATTTGCTGAAATGCAATGATATCTGAAAATGTTGAAGAAAAAGAATGTAACGATGGAAGTAGTCGGCAATTAAAACAGTTTATTCTGAAAATATGCAAGCGTGGCAGTAGAGTGACTCTGCCTTCTCAGATGCATTAGACATATAACCATGTAAGTCTCATTTGTTCATGAAAAATTCTCAGATGAAATTCCAAGAATGTCTAAACTATCGGAGGGACCGTTCCTGTTTCTTCTATCTTGTAAGCTCCATCTCCTTGCGATTGGATCATTGACGGCGCCGTGTTGGTACTGTCCCGATAAACGTCCTGATCAGGCATCAGCAACACCGAGATGCTCCTTCTCTGCTCCTTTTTGACTAAGAGCTTGAGCGAAATGCTAAAAGCGCGAATGGCGACCATCCACCTTATAGCTCGTAATCTCACCCTGGATCTCCTACTGTACCACCTCCTTAGCAGCTGGATTCCTCGCTCCCGGGGCCTCCTCCTCCGGACTTGGAGGCTGCCGCCGATCCGACGGCGATTTGGCACCCGTTCGTCACGTGACTCATGACCTTCTGTTTGAGCTGAGCGACCTGTTCCCGCAACATGGAGGCGGTGGACGCCAGATCGGAGTTCTGGTTCTTTAGGACCTTGACCTTCTCCTCTAACCGGGAAATCCTCTCCAACTTCCTCTTGCGGCACTTGGACGCGGCGATGCGATTGCGCAGTTTCTTGCGTTCCGCTTTGATCCGCTCCTGTGTTTCCAAGTCAATCGGGGAGAGGGAGGGCGGGGAGGTGGGGTCGCCCGGTGGGTGAGGTACCTCTGGGACGGTCTGCGGGGCATCCAGGCCTCGAGGGTGAGGCTGGGGGCCGCTACCTCCACCGTGGCCTGATCCCCCAAAAGCCATTTGCCCCGCAGAGTAGGGGATCTGGCCTGGGTTGTAGCTGCTGAGGTTAGTGTAGACAGGCATGTCTCCGCCGGACATCAGGTTCCTTTGGTACGACGCCTGCAGGGAGACGCTGGAGGAAGAGGACGGGGACATGGGCCCACCTCCCACCAGCTGATTCTGCTTGTGAAGGTCCGCCAGGGCCTTAACGAAGCCGTCCGCGAAACCCTCCTGCTCATTGGTGGCCTGGTTGCGGTACATGAAGGGGTTGGTGGAGTTTGACGCCGGACTTGTGGTGACCAGTCCTTGATTGGATTGGATTATAAGATGTTCCAGGTCGGGGGATGACAGCTTCAACAAGTTCATGTCCGCGGAGGATGCCGCCGAGGATGCCGATGACGTCATCATGCCGTTGGTTCCGGCAAGCCCCAGGAGATTCAGGTTCCCCGCCCGTCCCCCTGTTGGGCCACCGCCCAGGAAGTGGTGGCCACCTGCCCCCGACATGGCCTTCTTAGTCATCAGCATCTTGTTCCCCTGGTAACGCTCATATTCTGAGACCTGGCTGAAACCAGGGACAGCATGGGAGTCATCGTGGTAGAAGGGAGTCTCCATCTTGGCCGTCATTGACAAAGAGGTGCCTCAGAGGGAAATCTACATAATCAGATTAACCTGAATGTCGCAGCAGATTGAAAGGTTCCACTGACGTCGGTGGCTGGGGGATGATAGCGGGATGAGGGGATGATGAACACGGGACCAGTGTCTGCAGGGAAAACAAATGTGTCTGTGAGATGAGGAAGAGAACCACAACAGGAAGATTGGTGTTGTGCAAAGAATAGAGTGATGCTGACACTAATGACAACTGCTCTCTATGTGTGGTCTGAACTTGTTTATTTCTCTCCACGATGAGGCAGTAGACAAATGTTGAGCTTTCTCTTCTAGTCAATTGCACCTTTTAAAGTCTTTTCACAGGACACAAATGAACAATTAAAATCAAGAATCTTTCAACGTATGTTTTTGGCTTTTTTGATGAGCACTTAAAATCTAATTTTTTACCTTTTAATCTCAACTTCAACAGCAGAAATTTGAAGTTCAACTTCTTTTAAAAAAATCATTTTGTGATGTATGAATCATTATGTTATCATCATTTGTTATTAAAAACTAAAAAAAAGAATAAGTTAAAGAATAAAACAGTCAACATAGGATAAATCTACATCTTCCAAAGTCAATTGCTGGGGTGTCTTCTTCTTCAACAAAGTGTTTGATCTGTCTGCTATCATTTTTTACATGTGTTTTTACAAATCATGGGCGGTTGGCTTTCTAGGGAATGGTCCATCCCTGTCTGGTTTTCTACAGCTGTACCAATCTGAGCCAGAACATCTAAACCAATCGTCAGTTGTGTTTCGGTGGGGCAGCAGACAGACTTTGTGCTAGCAGCTGGTGCTCAGGTCACTTCTTGTATTTTGCTCTTAGGAACTTTAAAACATTAACTTGTGTTGATGAGCAAGGCAACTTTATGTGAACTTTGAGTCGTTATTGGTCAGATTCTTGTTATTGATTTTAAATTTTGATTGTTAATGTTAATATATGAATAGCTTATTTTCCATTACATAACTCCTTTTTCCCCCCAGCTTGCAGTCAAACAGTCAATATATTTAGAGTCACTAGACAAGTATTATACAGTAGAAACTCATTTACATACAGATTCAGCTTGCATCTTGCAACTGGTGTTGCTGATATTCATTGTCTGGCAAAGTCTCACCAATATATATCTCTTTTGCATATAAAAACATGTTCAACTGCATGCTAACTAAATATCTAATTGCAGACATTGAAAACATAACTAACTGACCTGTCCACAAAAGCTTGTAAAGCTGGAAACAGGCCAATTTAGAAAGAATTTTACTCCATCTTTAATGTTTTCACTTTAATCTCACTCAAAAATAAATTCTTTTCTGTTTTCTATGTATGAATTTACTCCAGTTTAAGTCCTGATGAGTTTCAGATTTTTTCTTTGTTTGTTTTTATTGCCATTTCTCATCTAAAACTCTAAGTCAAAGAGAAAATCTATTTCACGTGCAGTCATTTAACAACCGCAAAAACAATCAGATGTTAAAACTGCTGACAGAATTTTTTCCAAAATCGTTTGGATTTGGTGAGAAATAGTATTACAATGTGTAGTGATACAATGTTAAGAATATGAAATGTTTGTTTACTGTATCACATAAATGGCTAATTCATTTATCAGCAACATACGTTTTTGAAAATTATGCTGTTAAGAGGAGAGCAAAAATGTCCGATTCAAATTCATTAGGCTGAATTTTTGCTGGAAGGTGCGAGTTCCCATTTCACAAAGCTGCCTTCATGTTCTACTAACACAAAATAAAACAGGATATGTCAATATATTGTCTTTACTTTTACTGAGACTGAAGTTAAACTGAGACCAAAATTGAAAAAACCAAGTGCTTTCTTTGTATCACCATGAATTTTGGTTTTATCTGATTTAGTTTTTTAGATTCCGAGTAAAGAGCAGACACTGATATGCATTCAACTATATGGAGTTTGTGGTTCGGGACTTAAAGAGCCCTGAAAAATAAAATCTTCAGGGATATGCAATATTTCTGTAAATTTAGAACAGTGGCAGTCCTTGTGAAGACTGGGGAATCAGAAATAAGATCTGAAATGAACAAGTAATAAAAGTAAACTGTTTTTACTTAAGTTCTATGCTCAATTATTCAAATTTGACATAATAACTCTTGTCCCTTAGCCATTTTCAATGTGCAAAAGCTGTGCTCTTTCTTTCAGTAATTTGGTTCTCCTCTGGTTCAAACAAAGATGAAAACATTATGACAGGGTTCCATTGAATACAGGGAAACGTATATAGCATTTACAGCAACATTTGAGGTCCTAAGGGCTAATCTTCACCTCTATGGCATCATTAACTGGTTTTTACTCAGAGCAGAAGATGTCAATAGGTTCTGATCCAACATTTTCTAAATATCTAAGATTATTTGAATTGCTTTATCAGTCTGTAAAGCAATTTTATATTGTGTGAGAAGGTTAACACTTCCAAATCATAATCTAGTCAAAATAATCCATAGTGTTTGTTGTTGCACTGTTACAAAGTATAGGCAATTTGCTAAAACATATAAACAATGTGGGATTCTAGTGTACAAGAATAAATGTGGCTGCAGTAATGATACCACCTGCAATAGCTTGTGTGTGTGTGTGTGTGTGTGTGTGCGCGTGTGCGTGTGTGTGTGTGAGTGTGTGTGTTTGTGTGTGTATTGATGTTTTTTCCAATCCAACACATGATGAAAAACCTTCTCATTTTTTTATTCCTACAGGGACTAAGAAAAATGTTGACTAGGGTCAGTATGAGTTGTTGTTTGTGTTCGGTTTTTGGCACGTTTAGATTATTTTTCCTTATATGTTTAATGTAATTTGAGGTTTTCATGATCAAATACTGTTGAACTCGGCACTAAATACAGGCTCCCTCCTGTGGACAGAATGGGCAACACTGCTTCCACTTGTCTTCCACCATCTCAACATCTTTTCATACTTGTCAGGATCAATGACAGCCTATAAGATGTTTTTTAAAGAAAAAAAACTCACATAAATAAGCAAATCCCATTTTCTGCTTCTTTTCAGGTGCAACTCTGTGTCTGTTTTTGTGTTCCAGCTCCAACATCAACTCTCCTGGCTGAGAGCTGATACTGCCTTAAAATAAAGTTTTGTATGATTGATATTCGAAACGTTTAAGCTTAAAACGCTCATATTTTCGATCAGAATAATACTTAAATGTTTCAACAGCTGAAAAAAAAATACAACCTACCAGTGAAATGATCAATAAATCAGTCACGAACCAGTTATTTACTCAAAAATAATAAATGACCAGTAAAGTTATTGTTTTGACAAAAAAATCTATAAAAAAGAGGTAGTTTTTGTTTAGAGGATCGCATAGCAGTGTAATTTCAGTTTGATCTGTCTGTTGGTCTTATGTTTAAATAGAAAATGGAAGATTTATTCGTGGCCAAGGGGGGGAAAAGGAGCAACCTTACCTTCACAGCATCGTCCTCACGGCCGAAACGCGCTCCGGGGCGCTGCGCGTAAAAAGCCCGCCGCGTCCCGGTGCGCGTCCCCGGGAGTCCGACATCCGGGCGGAGCACGGGAGGAAATATAACCCGGGATGATTGTTTTGGCGATGGTTAATGCTCTCGGAGAGAAATCAGAAGCTTCTGAGCCATCCGAGAGCAGTGACTCACGGATGGAGCGGGCTGAGCGCGCAAACTCACGCGCACTGTCCGCCTCTCTCTCTCCCCGTCACAATGGCAAGGCAAAGCAAACTGATTTGTGCACCATAATTCGTGTTCTAGACTATTCAAAACGCTTCACTTACAAGATACAAGATAGTGCATTCAAAAGTGAGAGTTCAAAATAAGAAAATGAACCGTTTAAAGCCTGATCCAAGAATAAAACAAAGCAGAAAATTACTTTTTTTTTAGTTTGAAAGTCTTTATTTGGCCTTTTAACAAAATATGTAAAAAGAAAAAACAGAAACACATTTTTAATGTTAATAATTTATTACTATGCGATAAATCAAGATTATTTTTTGAGTAGTCTTCTGCCCCCTGTTATCAAGTGTATCTGATTGTGTACAATAGGATTTTGAGCAAAGTTTTTACCATTAAATTATGCAAAACGTGTCAGACGCAAAACATTTTAGAAACCATATGTATCAAATATGATACATTTGGCATTACAGGGTTAAGAATAGGTTCAACAAAATAAAAACAGGCACTGATTAAACAGATTAAAAGTGAAAAGTGCAGCTAAAGTACATTCAGTTGTGACATACACTGCTAAATAGAACTGTTCAGGGGGACCAGTCCAGATTTTAGGAGCATAAAACTGAAATGTGGCTTCACCTTGTTTGGTTCGGATTCTGGAAACCAGCAGAACCAGGACCTGAGGCCCTCAGAGTCCCAGCCGGTTCTCAATTAGTTCCCAATTTACAATTCCACCTGTCCACGAGGACCTGAACTAGTTTAAAGCCATACCAGGGATCCCCACCCAGACTTGTAACCTCTGTAATAAAATCACATGGTGATGCTCAGGTCCAGCAGAACTGTGACCCAGACCTTTTTACAGTGAAAGAGCTTGTTCAAACGTTTCCAACTAGTTGTTCAAGTTTTAATTTCCCACAGATTTTCTCATAAAATGCCCCTCATTAAAGTAACACTTAGTCTTTTTAATCAAACCAACTGAGCACAGCTCATTTGTACAGGTAGAGTTATAGAACTGGATATTATGACTAATGCATGTGGATGGCTGTTATTAGGACCAGGAGGGTAAACTAGCTTACAGACATAAATTTAGCGAAAATATATCTACTTTAATGGTAACATTTTGAATAATTTTGACTGATTGTTGAGCTATGACATAGTACCATGGAGAATAAGTTATGCATTCAAGTGTATCCCATCATCTTTAGCAAAGTTTTCCCACATTTTCATCTCCATTTTATTGAGTTATTCCTAACCTTTTTTTAATGTGTGCAACAATTATTTTTGCTGCCAGTAGAAAATTAATGAAAGGAATTCATTTAAATCATGAAATTGCCATCTTAAAATGGCTTTTTATGTATTTTTCAAGTACAAGATCATGTTGACAACGCCTTACAGGTGCACAATTTGTGTGAGTATGATTGGGGTTTTATATTTATGTTTGTCTGTTTCTATTCAGGGTTGGGTTTAGTATGCTAAGTGTGCTGTAGGCATACCTTTAAATAGCTCCGTATGACTTTGACTACATTAAATTACAAAGGATGGTAAACTTTTCCTTGAAATACACATTGTACTAGGTTTTCTTCAGTGTTTGGTTTTTGGATTTTTATGCAGCAAACAATAGAAATAACTAAAGCATCTGGTTTTATTTGAGTTTTTTTTTTATTTGTTAAAAGGTTGTACGAAAGTATTTTATATCATATTATGATAATAATATACAACACGGTAAGGTTTTGGGTGAACAGTATACAAATATATATATGTAATATATGAGTGTAAAGTCCCTGTCAGAAGCGAGACCATTGTAATGCTGTTAATAGCCATACGATGCAAATATTGTCGAAGACTAATGGGATTATCTGGCATGCCACACAATCTGGACTGCTCATTTCTCCCAATGCATCGATAATGACTTAGAAAAATAGCAACAGGAGAAGGAAGACTTTGCCCACTTCAGGTGCTAGTTAAAACGTAGATGAAGGAGAAGAGATATAAAGTAAATCAGACCAAACATTTTTTCTTAACAGATGCCTCAATATCCCACAATTAAAGACCACTTCAGCCCAGTTTTTCAACTCCCCCCTTCCCTTTTTATCAGCTCCAGTTCCTTACGATTCTTTCTCCAATCTGCCCTAATCCTCCGCGTTTGTTCTATCTAACTATTCAGGGTTGGGGTTAGTATGCAGACCATCATTTGTGGGCAGAGGTTGATGAATACCTCCCCCTTTTTTTAAGGAACTTTGCGATTGAGTCCCTGTCCAGAGAACATATCAAAGAGCAATAATACCACAAACAGGGTACAAAAATGTGCAGCTTTTTTCTACAATAGACAGCAACAGCAGAAAAGGCCTTCATTAGATGTTTAACATCCTTGTCCACAGCATGCAACCTACCCAACTATGTTGAATAATTTGGTATGGATGTTGATGAAAATATTAGATTTGTAATAGCGTTTCTTTATTAAAAAGGACAGTGATTGACAAAGGTCCGCAAAGACACTGAATTGATCTGGTTTGATGAAGTTTTATCTAACTTTACTCCAAATGCAGATATGGATGTTAGATCATATGAGATTCTGACAGGAAGGGAAATGTTCTGTACTTTTACTGCCTCATCAACAGACACAACTCGTGTAATGATATTGTATGAAGACAATTGAAAAACACAGTGTCTCTCAATAGGTTACGACTCTGCAACAGGTCACCGAAGCTCAGAAAAAGGAGAAAAGCTGGATTCTGAGGAAGGTAATCGAGCTTGGGGAACAAATCTGTGAAATGTTTCCTTCTTCCTAGGGGACCCGTAACAGAAAATGATTGAGAAGCACTGATTTAATATAAGATCTCTGTCTAATAAGTCACTCTTAATTAATTGAGCTAATGACCTCATCAATTCATCCAATTTGGAGTTTCTTTTTCTGAAAGAAACATGGTAAACAGGAAGCAAAAGTGCTACTGTTCTTGATGAAACAACACCCCCCAAAAATTGTTGTTCTATGTAAACATGTCAAAATGGGAGGTAAGGTGGGGGAGAAGCTGCCTTATTTAAAGAGCCATTCTGGATTATCTAAGTCTTTTTTAAAGGGTATTCCTAAAATTCTATTTCTAATTATTTGCAGATACGCAGAGGTTTTGTTGATTCATTTTCTGATTTATTGTCTGTTTTCTCAAATTATTTTAACCATTTTATCTTGAACAGGTAGTTTAACAATCACGTAGACAGTAAGATCGGTGGTAATGTCCAAGTAATTTTTCTTTATTAGATATATTTGGCTTGTGGCAACATGTAAAACCTACGCATTTTTGAGGTTGCATTCTGGACATGGTGATTTTCTAATGGGGTTAATATGTCTCTGTTGTGGTTTCTATTGATGGAAAAATCAAGTGCTCAGTCTAGGGAGGCTATACAAATAAAAATCACTCCTTTAACGGGTTAGGGTTAGGGTTAGGCAAAACAGATTTACAAAAATGACTTACAAACAAAAGATCACTGTGATAATCGTAGGAATATAAACTCTAAAAGTTTAGATCAAAATAATAATCACTGCTTTAACAGAGAGGAGTGTTAGAATTTCAAAATAAAACAGGAACTAACAAGACAAGATGACAAGACAAGGTAAAAAAATCACCACTGCATGACAATTTAAAGCACTTTCAGTTATTTTTACATGATATTGTCCATGCAGATACATTTGACTTGACTTGACTAACATGTTTTGCTAAGGTTACTACCTACATCGAGAACTACACACACGGAGAGGCATGAGACTCAGATTGTCTTCTGTTATGATTTTCGACAGCGGTTATGCGCCTGGTACTGTGAAGGCTGCTTGTGAATTGTCATTGTTTGTTCACTGATCTGTTTACTATTTCCACATGATTGTAAAATGTACAATTGCTTGGTGCTTGGAATTGGAAGGAAGAACAGCTTACACATAGTGGCATAAATATGGGATACCTGTTAGGAAGGCCAAGAAGATATATATGAATTAAACTATGGAATAAGTGCACTTTGAGCCCTTCAAAACTTTACTTGTGACCTGACTGAATTGTGAAATTATACACAATTGTTCTTGGGTTTCCAACAAAACAATTGGACCAAAAAGTTGTACAAATTGGTGATTCGTATATGTTATATATTCTTCTGTCCCCCTCATACTCAGGTCCATGCACTCACTTAGTGGAATTGGATCCACATTACTGCATGTCCATTTTACTCTTGTTAACAGCAAAAAATTCTGATGAACACATTTGTATTGATTAAGAGCTGATGCCTTATCAGCAAATTTTTGTTAAGTCATTATTACCTCTTAAACCAAAACATACTTTATAATCCTCAAATATGTGTTAAGAGTAAGTTTAAATTGCCGACTTCAACATTTGTATTACCGCATAAGCAAATTTCTTGCAAAAAAAAGTATCATGTTTTTTTTATAATAACATAATGTAGACATTTCATTAAGTCAATTACTTAGTCAAACACTGTTAAAAAGCATACGGTAGTCCAAGTGCATGCCATAGGAAGTTCAGAACCATGCTGGGGTAATGTCAAGATAACCACTTACTGGCTCAGCTACTTTGCTGGATATGAAACATTTGTGGGAGCAAAATCGCATGCAGTGTTTTATACTGATAAAAAAGAGAGGTGTGCTTTCTGAAAGGGAAAATGGTACGACACTTTTAACCTTTTAAAAACGTGGTCCAAGAAATTTTTTAAATATTTTTTCTTTAATTTAGCCCTTTAAGAAAATCTGGAAAAAATAATCAGAAATAATTTTTGAAAATTCATAATTTATTACTGTTCAATAAGTAAAGATTGTCTTGTAGTCTTCTGCCCGCTGTTATCATGTTACCCGATACATATGATTGCAAACAACTAGGTTTTGAGCAAAGTTTTAACCAGTAAATCATACATCATATGATAGCGTTATGCTAACAGAAAGTTGTACATGGTCATCCACCATTCTTTCACATCCTCTCTCTGTGAGACCCAATCCACATCCACATATGAGGTGATCTCATATGTGTGTGTACGCACATAAAAACAACTCCCCAACCCGAGATGGTCATCCTCTTCCTCTTCCCTGAGGCTGGACAGAGATCTTGGATGTTGGAGCCAATTTTGGGAGTAACTTTGGGGAGTTACTTCCCGGAGATTCCACATTCCTGCCTCCATTGGTCTATTGCTTAAAGCTTGTTTCTCTGCTGCCATCATTAATGTCGCTGTGCTATCTTTCAGTCCAGCCTTATCCAGCCATTGGTAGGATTTTGTTTGTAGTTGTCATTACCAGCCACCTCTACTGGTGCATGCCATGTAGCCATTTTCCTGATGTACTCATGCATGTTTGTTTTTTTCATCCTGGATAGTAGAACTGACACTCCCTAGTCCTTTTCCACTTTCCTTTCACTTAGGATACAGTCTCAGGTCGCTGGACTTGAGGTGAAACCCTTCATGCATGAATAGGAGCTTTCTTGTTGTGATATCAGGTGCTATATTTCCTCCTTTGGCCAGTTTATTATCCCAGTTGGGTTTTTTAATACCAGTTTGGCATAGGTGCTGATTGCCTGGATCTTGTTCTTACCATTCAACTGACTCTTCAGGATTTCCCTTATGGTCTGCAGGTATCCCACAGATTCAGGTTGGAAAACAGACACCTTGGGAATCCCACAGCGGGAAATTTGCTGGTACCTTGGAATCCCGCAGATTCCAAGGTACTAGCAAATTTCCCGCTAATGGGAACCACAAAGAGGCCGCTAGCAAAGCTGCAACTGTGGAATCCCACAGACTCCAATGTACTGGAGTAGGTAGAAAAATACAGAGGCTTTTCACGTGGACAAGAATATTTCTTCCACTGGGGGCAGTACTAATCATTTCCTGGCAACTTTAAAGTCTTCACACGCGCTGCCAGGAAATACTCAGCATTCTTGTTGCCTTTTCCTCTCAGGGGTCGCCTCAGTGCATCGGACTTGACCCACATGTTGGGTTTGGTTGGAGTTTTCTTTACCCTGGACGTCCTCCTTGGTGCATTGCTCCCGGTTTGGGAAGTGCAGACAACTGAAAGCTCAGTAGACACTTTTACATGTGGCCTAGGATGGAACCACTGAGCTGGCAATAGTTACAGCAATAGTTGCTGTAATCAGTGTAAAACCAGACTATCGATAATTGAGAACGTGTGTCAAATAACTGACCGAGAGTTCATGAAGTTGAGCTGTCCCACTCACTGCGTGTTTGTATCCATAGAAACTCATGGAAAATAATCTGTGTCACACATCTGTAAGCTATTAGCTAAGAAGACGTCATTTGAACAAACAGGGTCAATGACATCACACCATTTAGAAAAAGGAAAGAAGAAAACAGTCTGACTACAGGAGAGGAGGAGACAGGAGATGACTTTAACTTTTAAACATTTGAAATAAATTCAGATTTGGATTAAAGAAAAACAGAAAGTCATTGTCGGTTTTCTGTTAATAAACAGAACAAACATTTAATAGTTACTCTCAGGCAAAATGTTCCAGTGAGTTGAATGAGTAATACAAAAACATTTTTTTGGTTTTCAGTCAGTAAATGAAATAAATTGGATAACACAGTGTGATGGACAAGTTAGTTGTCATGCTACAGATTTGTTGTTGTTTTTTTTAAACAGTAGCTGTTGCACATAACACAAAATGGACAGTACATGTTGTATTGTTGAAAGTGGCCTTTTCACATAGGTAGTACCATTTAACCCTTTAAAGCCCGATCCAATAAAAATAGGAAGAATATTGGATTTTTTTAGTCTGAAGTCTTTCTTTGGCCCCTCAACAACATATGAAGGAAAAAAACAGAAATTATTTTGATCAAATTAGCGTGCAATGCGTCAAAATCAGTCTTCTACTGGCTGTTATCAGGTATATCTGAATGTGTACAACAGGGGTTTGAGCAAAGCTTTTACCACTGAATGATGCAAAAAGTCTCAGATCCAAAAGACTTCAGAAACTGTACGTATCAAATATGACACATTTGGCATTATAGGGTTAATATTTCGTTCTATCCTGAATTACTAAAGGGTTACGATAATGGATGGATGGATGGATGGATGGACGGATGGATGGTTGCAGCAGTTGTTTGAAAATTCAAACATTTCAGAGCTGGGTTTCAAAATCCTGACGATGGCCTCCTTTAACGGAGTTCTCTGAGACACAAACGTTGAGAGGCAGGGCTACCGCGTGGGGAAAAACCTTTGTAGGTGATCCTATTAACCTTGTTGGGGTTCTAAATAAGCTTATCAAAGATTTCTGATGCTGACGCTCTCAAGGACGTTAGCGGCCTGAGTTGGACCAAAGTCTGGCTTGCTCTGGCTCCATAAGATCCTCAACAGCCTACAATCTGATGTCTCTGGCAGGTTCTGCAATGTTTGTGTTGTTTTCTGTCTACATTTGAATGATTCCTGTCTTGCATCATGTCACTTGGTTTATACAATTTTTTTATTTAAAAAAAAAAATCAATGGAATGTAATATCCATTACAGATATGTTTAGCAATTTGTACTCCGTGTGACTGCTCACAGGTTCAATCCATCCATCCATCCATTATCAATACCGCTTATTCCCTATTGGGGTCACGGGGGAAACTGGAGCCTATCCCAGTGGTCAACGGGCAAGAGGCAGGGTCATCCTGGACAGTCCGCCAGTCCATCGCAGGGCCACACAGAGACACACAAGGACAAACAACCACTCACACTCACATTCACTCCTAAGGGCAATTTCCCCAATCTCCAATCCACCTAACATGCAGGTTTTTGGACTGTGGGAGGAAGCTGGAGAACCCGGAGAGAACCCACGCAGACACAGGGAGAACATTCAAACTCCACCCAGAAAGGTCCTGGTTCCCCCGGGATTCGAACCCAGAACCCTCTTGCTGGGAGGCGACATTGCTAACCAGCACACCACCGTGCCGCCCGCTCACAGGTTCTGAATCCTAATTCTAGAATGACATGCTGGCTCCCCCTACTGTCCACTACTGACCACAGACATTCAGGATGTCAAAACATTGTCTGTTTGATTTTTTCTCCAATATCTCAAGGCGTTCCATGTTGCATCACTCCGACACTCCCACGTATCAGAGTAGTTGTTTTAGTACTGTATTTCCTCTCACATTGTTACCAACAGAATTTCAGTTAGAGTTTTACATGACAGACGAACGTCAATAATGACAAACAAACATCAATTACAGAGCGTAAATGAGCAAAAGACACTGGTCCCCTGTGGCCTCTCAACTTTGCAAACCTCTATCTATTCAACTATTGGTCCCAACTAGTCAATGACTAGGTTCAATGACTTTTTTTCTGTTTGCTAAATGGCACGCAGGGAACTGACAAAAGTACATAATGTCAAAAATAGAACATCTATTTGGAAGCTTCGAATTTTTCTGTAAAGTATGAGCTATGCTTAAAAGGCAGCCGTGATGCTTGAGTGCGTTCACATTTGAGACAGTCACAGAACAACTATGTGGTGTTCACTTTGGTAACATGATGTAAGTGGACACACATGTGATTGAACTACTGGTTTCGTCATCTATCTGTTTTTGACGAAAGACATCCAACTGATTCTGAGGCCGATATTCGCCTATATTGATAATCGGGAGTGTTCTCTCTTGAAGATCAGATTCTGAGCTGGAACGCTGACCCTGTCTCTGCATCATCAGGTTATAAGTAGGGTTAGCAAATGTACCTCTGAATGGAGAGAATGGTAAAGTCAAAGTTGCGGGTGTGTCGACGGGTGGTGAGGCAAACGCCTTCTGGCTGATATCATCAGGTTCTAATTTACATAGTAGCTGTGGAATATCCATTTTTTCTTCAGTGCAATAACTCTGGTCAATGTCAAGGGGAGGACAACTGTGCACAGCCTGGAAGATAGAATAGCAATATATCAGTTTCACAGAAAGGAAGGGCTAAAGCAGGAACAAATATAATGGCAAACATACACAGTGCCTCTTGAAATCCATTTAATGTCTTACTCTAAGCTAAGTCTTTGAACAATTTCACCACATAGACTGTCGTTATGCTGTTGGTGAACAGCATGCATGAACACCGTAAAAAGGTACATATATATGGCATCGTACTGTCATACTCGTCATGTGTTGATTACCTATTGTGTACACCTGGGGTTCCCCTCCCTCATGTGTTTAAATAGTCCTCGTTTCCCATGTCCTGTGCCAGTGCGTTTTCGTCTCTCGTCTTGCGTCTCCCCACGTCATGTAAGGCTTTGATTATTTGCCCTTTGCCATAGCCATGTTTTGCCACAGTTTTGTTAATCTTTATTTTGTTACTTTTCCATAGCCTTGTTTACTCCTTCATATTTTGCGACAGTCTAGCTTTTCGTACCATAGCCTTATTTTTGTCACAGCCTTGCCATAGCCTTGTTTTGACCACAGCCATGTTAATCTTGTTTGTACGTTTGCCATAGTCTTGTTTTGATACTTTGCCACAGTTTTGTTAACCTTGCTTTGTTACTTTGCTCATAGTTTTGCCACAGCCTTGTTTTTTAACCTTCTCTGGTCATCCACTTTTTGTGAGTGTATTTTTGAAAATAAAACCCTTGTTTTTGCATCTCCGCGACTGATTCCTCCCTCCAAGATCCACCTACATGACATATAGTTTCTTACACTGCTCAAATAAATGTCTGTACACTGAAATCCACACATATGAAATCAGTGGAATGCTGGTTACAGCCATAACTTTGAGTACTTACAGGTGAGGTCAGCCACTTGCCCGTCAACACTGGCTTTGGAACTGGCTTATAGACTTTATCCTTGATCCTGTTAGATGTGGGGGGGAAAAAAATGAAAAACAAGTCCCAGAAATTAGGTGCACAAAAAACACATTTCACAGTCACATTTGAAAGAAAATTCATCCGTCTGTTTACCTACCATAACCAGCTTACAAAACAAAAGATTGCGGTGAAAATCAACGCAAAAAAAAAGATCCCCATAGAAATCAACAGTGACTTGATCAGGTTGTCTTCTGCGGAACAAAAACAGCCCAAATATGTCAATTAAACAAAAAATACAACGGTTGGTCAAACCTAGGCTTACACTTTTGCATTTCTTTAACTACAAATAATGATTTTGCATATAACTACATTGATGTGAAAGTGATAGGAAGGAACTCACTCTGAAAATTCAGAGTTTCAGTCACTTTTCCGCACTCTCCCAAAGCTGTCCGGGCCATCAATGTGAACGTGTAGAACCCGTTCTTAAGGTTTGTTGCTCTCAGGCTGGTGGCCTCAGGTATATCTTAACGGGAAAAAAAACAGTAGAAAAGGACAACCAGTTATTCCAGTCAATGCGAGTGTGTGTGTGTGTGTATGTGTGTGTGTGTGGTTCTTTATCTCCATGTGGCCCTGTGATTGACTGTCGACATGTTTGAGGTGTATCCCACCTCTTGCCCTATCACAGCTGGGACAGACTCCACCCTCCCATGATTCCATGTAATAAGCAGTAAATTTAAGAAATGCCCTCCACTCGGTGAATTTGACGTGTCATGGTGTGTTGTCAGATACAAAACATAAGAATCGAGTGAAGGGTTATGTGCTAAAAGATAAGATAATCATAAAAAAGGAAGGGGGAAACCTTTATAGGTGATCCTGTTAAACATGTTATGGTCCTAAATAAGCTTCTCAAATATTTCAGATGCCGATGCTCTTAAGGTCATCAGCAGCTTGAGTTTGACCAGTCTGGTGTGCTCTGGCCCCATAGGTTCCTTTTTTTTAATCAATGGAATGAGATATTGTGGTGGACAGTTATAGGAATACAGAAGCTGTTGTGGATAAATTTACCCCTGGGGTTAGGAGTGAAATGGAGTGTGTGTGTGTGTGTGTGGTAACCTCTCCCATGCCCCCATGTAAGAAATACATATATTGTAAATAATATAGTAGGCTGAAAGAGAAAATGAATACATGGAATTGTATGCTATACAAATAACAGGATATTTGTGTTATGATATAATAGCCTCAATCGAGAAAGATATACACTATATAAAACCATCAAATGGATCTTGAAAGGTTTTGCAAATCTTTTAAATATCGAAGTGTCTTTTTTAACTTAAAGACCCTTTGGAAAATATTAGATGAACACTTTATTGCAGCCTCTGTTCCAGAGCTTTGTACATCTTGCCTTGTGAAGTTGCGGGACCAGGTAATGCAAGCGTCACAGAACAGCCACAGGCTTCAAGCACATCACAAATGATTTGTTTCTTTAAGATTCTTCCACCTCTTCACAGGAAATCGTATTCTCATTTAAAATTATTACTGAGATCGGCATGGGATATATTTGAAAAGTCTTATTTCAGTCTTATTGATGGAGGCAGCAGATTTCTTTGGAAATTCAAATTATTTGCAGTGTCTCTTGACATAAATAATTCTTACCACATCATAAACTATGCAGCTTATCTGTCCTGTAAATATTTTCTCATTTTGCTTCCTTTTTGGCAGTGACGTCATAGAGGCTTTATTTTTAATAATGTTTAGTGAAGCTTGTTGTTACTGCTTCTGTTTGGTATGGTGAATAACATTTCAAAATGAATAATTCTTGTGTATTTCTTAAAGTAAATACTAATATTTTTTCAAATTAACACTGTATAAATAATGATTGGTAAAAATATTCAAATTGACAACATAAACTGATGTTGATTTATTCATTATTACTTATTTTAATGAATTTAATGTTTTTTAAGTGCTTGCAGTTAAGTTAGTTTAACTAAATTTATCTGTAGTTTCTGATTGACTTAACTGATTTTTTTTCGCAGACAAAAGAGCGCATTTTATCAAGTATTCCCAACTTCAAATATCAGTTAGTTAAATAAACTGACAAAAATTGCATTGAAAATTTTGCCTTGAGTTTTTAAAAGTTAGATCGAAGAAGCAGTTTTAACAGTGTAGACAGTTGGGTACTTGTCCAATAATGGATTTAAGATCATTTAGATTCTATTTATCACATTTTTATATCAGGGATTTTTCAATAGAATCTTTTTTGCGATGTGAAAAATAAACTATCCTTTGATGGAAACAGCAGACACTCACACGTCCATGTAAAGGCCTTGAATGTAATATCAATATTTCCTTTGTGCTTTCTGATTAAGGGCATGGAAGTTAGTATACCATCATACTGTAGTCTTACCTGTGCTCACACTGAAACTTTGACCATTGTTGTCATGGTAGCGCAGAATGTAGCCTTGGACAAATGCGGTCTGCTCCTTCAGAGGTATGGGCTCCCAGGATATCTCCACATCCGAGTCATTTTGTGCTAATTTAAGTGACTTAAACAGCGTCCCTTCAATTCCTGGCAAAACGAGGCAGAGATCACACATTTATTAATAAAGAGTCATTTCTGTGACAAAATATTTTTTGAGAGACTGTTCTAATTCCAATCTCACTTTTCTCTCTGGAATAGCCCTCCAATTTCTTAAGTAGCAGTGGAGCTCCCTGGGTACAGGCGTATATTGACAATGAGTATCTTTTTCCATCTGTGATGTTTTCTGGAAAACAACAAAAGATGTGTTGAAACACAACAGAATATGAAGTTAATATTCAAATAAAAAATCTGGGCACCGTTATGACTCATCCCAAATGAAGGATGTAGTTGTGTCCATACATTTAGCTGATATTGTACATGCTGCTGTGGCCAAAATTGTTTTATAGGCCGGGTATTACCTGAAGTTATGCGAACGCTGGTTTGATCAAGAGGCAGTTTCAGCCACTCCACGTTGCCGTCCCCCACTGTTGGATGCCAGTCGACAATGTAGCCACATTTTGCTCTTGGATTGTTTGGCCAAGACAGGTTGAAGCCTCGGTTGCTGCCAGTAATCAAATACGTTTTTACTGTGGTTTTCTCTAAAAAATGAATAAATAGAAAAAGAGGATTATTTTATTGTTATATTTCTCATAGTAGTTACACTGATCACCCAAATTATTCATATTTGTATTGCCCCTTTCTAATTTTTAAGACAATTTTTTATTAGTTTCAGACTAACACAAGCAACTCCAACCAAATTTGTGAGACCTTGTTTAGAGTTTTACAGATGCATTTAAAGAAATGAGAGATAAAATATTTCCTTTGACAAGAATAAAGCTAATCTTTTTGGGCAAAACATCATGTACCGGGCATTAGAAGGCTAACTAAATTCAAATAGAATTGCATGGTTTTAATCTAATCATGTTAAAGCTTGCTTTTACTCATGAACAGGTACACTGGTTTTGATCAAAGAAAAAGAAAGACGAATGCTAAGGGAAAAATCAGGGGAAGTATTTCTCATAATAAAACATTTGCAAAGATACAGATCAATTTCAACAACGTTTCAAAGAGCTCCGTAGCTCATGTTCATGTTATTGAAAAGATTGAATAAATACACCATAAACCAAATTGAATCCATGTCTTAACATCATTTCCATTTATAATATACTAGATTTTCATCCTACCTGGACTGATGTTTGGAATGGTGATGGTTGACGGGGACGAGCTGCCCAGACTGTTCCTGGCAGTGACTGTGACAACGTGCTCTTCTCTGGCATCCAAACTGAGTATGAAGCGGTTTTTGTGAAGCACTTCTGATTTGTTTTGTTTATCTCTTTCTTTGGTACTTGCACAGGCTACTTCAAATACGATCTGCTCTGGATTCCGACTTTTTAGCGGCATCTGCAGAGAAGTAAGAATGGGAATTTATGTTACTGGCCACATAAATCCTACGGATAAAAATGACCAAAAACATTAAAATACAACCAGTCATAGTTTGCCATAGTGCCAGCATCAATGAAAATATCCAAAGAACCTAAACATTTGCTAATAAAACCTAATTCCATATGGTAATACTGTGGGTTAATAATGATAATATGTACAGTATGGCTCTTATGATTCACCTTCCAAATAATCTCAGTCTCATTTTCCGTCTTGTGCATCCACCACACATCAGGGGCATCTGGAACTGAGACACAAATGAATAAATTAGATTAGTAGGCATGGTTAAAGTTGTTGTTTTTTGTTTTGTTTCTTTCTTTGAAAATGTAAAAAACAAACCGACCATCATCCTCTGTTTCAAAGCTGGTATTATCACTCCACTTTCCCCATTTCCAGAAATGTTGAACTGTTCCACATCGTACTCTCACACTATATTTCCAGTTTGGTATCAAGTTTGTCAAAACTGCCGATTTGAGGCCAATTCCACTGTATTCAATCTGGAAACACAATGTGTAAAAAAGTTACCTGAGTTTAGAAAATGTTTTACGAAACCTTTGTCCTCATCCTTTTAAAAAGCATCAACTTACGATGGTATTTCCGTCACCATCACCAACTTCTAACTGGCAAGTTAGGTTGAGATCATTGTACTTCTGCAACGTCCAGTTCCAATGCAGGCTTACGTTTCTGGCGTTGACATTTGAAACTGAGAATTTTTCTGGCGCAAACATGTATACTGAAAAAATAACAGCAAAAAAAAGTCAGTTTAGTTCATGAAAAGTGGCTAAAAAGTCCAAAATTTGAAGTCATAATGGACGGAATTTGTTCGTAAAGCTTTACCTCTTTTGGTCAGGTCACAATTGTCTTGGAGTTCCACCTTTCCGAGCCTATTTTGTATTATTAAAGTAAAGAGCGTTTCACCAGCAGCTTCCATTTGCATCTTTTGTGAACATTTTCCGTTCGATTTATATTGACATTCGTTGAAAGACAAAGCAGTGTGATTGCCTAATTTGTTCCTATAAAGTAAAGATAGGGGTCATTAATACAATAAATTGAACATCAAAAAAGGACATGGCATAAATATGTATAATTTTTCCTCAGAACACATTGAGTTTTTTCCATTCGATTTTAAATTCAGGACATTTATCAGCAGCTGTATTGGTTTTGATTAGTTTTGCTTTGTAATGATAAAAAGATATAAATCTGTAAACCCCACATGCATACATATAGCTGTTTTGTCCCCTTTCTTATTTTCCTGTCTGTTTTAATGTCAGCTTCTCAAAGAAACCGAAACAGTCTAGGTTATATTAAATAAATTAAATATATCGTAAAATACTAACCTATACATTTTCAATTAATGAAGTAAATAAAGTAACAACATCATTGAGCAATTACATTTAGCACTAACCCCTGTTCCAAAGCCTGAATATATAGCTTTATTTACACAATATTTACACAATATATCGAGCCAGTTTTTCTAAATGGGTTTAAAATTAAATGGATCAGAGAACCCTCTTTAACAGTTGATATATGTACTACACTATTATATTGATTTATAAATTACTTACAGCTGTATTTAATAATTTCTTTCAGGTTTTTAGGACTACACAAAAAATAATCTTGAATTATCCCATCGTAATAAATTATTAATATTGAAAAATTCATTTTGTTTTTTGTTTTTTAATTTTTTGTTAAAAGGCCAAATAAGGAATTCAAACAAAAAAAAAAACAATTTTCTGTTTTATTTTATTCTTGGATCAGGCTTTAAAGGGTTAAGCATCTTCAGATTTGGTCATCATTGATTACAAAATATGGTAATATTTTGAATCTCCTGTTCAACCACAGTGATAGAACTGGCTGAAAGTGGTGTACACTTTAAACAGAAAATAGCATTTTATGGAAATTTACAAGCTCATATAACTGTTTTCATAAGAGGATTTTTTTTTTTTTACCTTCCAAGTAGCTGATAATTAGTTGGATTCCATGATTTTTGTTCGGGAGCAGTCCAGACACATTCAACTGATTCCAGATTCTGTGTTTCGCACTGAAAATCTCTGTCCCTTGGTGGGTCTTAGTAATAGAAAAAAGGAATAAGAGCCTGCATTCCTCAACTTAAACATGACCAAAAACCATGACATTTTCAAATGCAAAGTGATACTTACAATCTGCAAAAATGCTGGCCCCATATTTAGAGGTTTTGTTGGTTTGACATCTTACATCAGAGCGATTGTCCGATTCCTTGTTAAAGTGGACAGTCAGAGCCACCATTTGATTACTGATCCTGGTTGTGTGTATGTCAGTTGTGTGGTAGCCCGTCAGATAAAAACGCTCGATGCTTTCTATGGCGGGTACAACACAGCAGAAAGTGCCGCTGCTGCCGACTTCAAATATTTGGTCCTGTGGGTAAACTTTTCTAGTTGTGTTTCTGCTCCCTGAAAAAAGACAAGGATGAAACCCATTAAGCACAATTCGTGAGACTGACAGTAATGCGATGTCAATCGAGACGACAACGAACCGAGGAGAGTCCTCTCTTGATGCCACGGGCTTGTGCGATTGTCGTACGAGGAACTCAGCCTAACTGAATGAGACGCGCATTCAAATGGCAAATGGGATGTCCAGTTCCAGGAATGAGTCGATCCTATTTGGTCAAGTCTCACAGCAACTTCATCCTAAAACATTTCAGTGTGTTTGTTAGTATGGTTCAATATATTTCTAGGCCGGTCATATTTTTATGTTTCTAAATTCGAATGAAGCAACACTTTTTATCGAACTTACACTATGTTCTTGCTTGTCTGCAATGAAAACAATGATCTTATAGATGAGTATGTCGCTCAGGGCTGAGCAGGAAGGGTCATCTTCCCATGTTAACAAGAGCATCTGACCAATGCTGTTTAGAGACAGATTCTGAGGTCCACAATCCAACACATCTGTAAAAAATGACAATGACACATTTTAAGGCAAATATCAATATTTCAATTTAGATATGGTCTGATTTGAACATTTCCTTCTTCTTGAACAACAAACACATCGTACAGCAACAAAGAGAAGTTATGTCCCAGTATCACATTGACCGTTTTGATGTTATTCAAGTTCATGCTTTTCTGGTATACAAAAAGTTAATTTTGCTTCAAACTTTGAACACTTGTGTATTGATGGTAGTTGTGTCATCTTAATAGGATTGAAGTGAAACGTCTGTAGGTGACAGGTGGACAATACAGTCCTCACCCTTCTTATTTTTGCTTAAAACGTGTTTCTATGCCCAAGGATATGTCAGCATAAATGACCTGTATTCTCATAATAATAAGTAGCCAGAGTAGCCGGGCATCTAGAGTAACAGTGTTGGGATTATTCCACAATCAGATGTACTTCTCGAAAGATATACAGAGCAAAAAAGACAGATTTTGACGTATCGAACTTCTGACCAAGACTGCTGAACAAACCAACCCACCGACTGACCAACTGATCAACCCACTGACCCACCTACCAACCAACCAACTGAATTACCAACTGATCAACCGACCCACCCACCCACCAACTGACCGACCTATCAACCCACCGACCAACCAACCGATTAACCAAATGATCAACCCACCCACCAACCAGCTGACCAACTGATCAACCGACCCACCCACCCACCAACCGACTGACCAATCGACCCACCAACCAACTTCTGACCAAGACTGCTTCCCCACCAAAAGCTGAAAACACAACAGAAGAACAGCTCATCCTCTAAAACTAAGAGCCACAACTTGCTGATGGCCCAGTGAACCTGGGGAAAATACAGTATTTGTTACTTATTGTCGAGTCAAATTAATTTGTATAGCACATTTGAAGTACGGTGTTTTATTTAAAAGTATTACAATGGAGAGCAGTCAAAGCTCAATGCATAAAAAGGCTTTACAGACCTGAAATGTCAGCATTTGGTAAAAGTTGAATCTCTAGTGTCTCTGGAAGTCTGTTCCACTTATTGGACTGAACTTGCAGGTGTTACTAACTAATAGAGGAATTTTACTGGGTCCCAACTGTGTTTATGGTAGCAGGTGCTTGCTGGGATAAAGGCATCCTTAGGGTTTTGTGAAGGGGGAGGGCTGGGGATTTGTAATATCGGTGGTTCTCTTTTATCTGTACAGTCCTGTTTGAGTTTGGAATCATGTCGGAAATCTGCATCCTGTTATATTTTGATGCACTTGACCTAGCCTGAAATGTTAACTTCTTTCACCATGGGCAATGCTTGCATTTGACAACCATGTCTTAGTGTTTCAAGCATCTTCTCCAGCTGTGTTGTTCTCACAAAGTTATTCACTGTGGGATAGAACTCTATTTGCACTCGACTAAATCTGCCAAAAAATGTTGGCGAGCAGATATCCAGGAACTCCACCTCAGGAGCGCAGTCGCACGTTTTCCTGCGTCCTTCGGTGGTCTCCTGTTCCTGTTTCCCATATCTGTTCCTGCCCAGCTCCATATCAGACTGTCAGGGGTTTTTCTCTTTTTCGGTTCCGGTCGCAACATAACGTACGACAACTGAAAGTATCTTATCTGCACTCTTCATTTGTCTTCAAAATCAATTATTTTTATTTGCTTTACTTTCTTCTTCACTTCTGCCTTTAAAATCTCACTTATCAAGACATTTTTCTTTTTGAAATCTTTTACGTACTTCGCTTTGAATTGTCCTGTAGATAGAATGTGCTATACAAACAAATTTGCCTTGCCTTGGCTTTGTTATCTGTCCAGTGTTTGCCCCTCTCTGGCCTTTTCATGGTGGAGGGGTTTGAGCGTCCCAATGATCCTAGGAACTATGTTGTCTGGGGGATTAAGACCCCGGTAGGGTCACCCAAGGCCAACAGGTCCTAGGCAAGATGTCAGACGAAGTGCAGCCCAAAGACCCCTTACGATGAAAAACATGGACCGAATCTGAGTTGGTGTGCGAGGCGGAGAGGATCCGGCTAGAAATAGTCTGACCCTCCTTGACCCCAGAGCTCTGGTCGTGGAACCAGCTTCCCAGTTTCCTCAAGAGGGGCTGGACGCTCTTATACTTTGGAGTTTCCCTCAGTGTTAGGCGCAGAGTGAGAGTGGACGTACTTGTTGCCCCCACATCTTGGGGGACTTAAAGACTCAGTACAGACAAAAACACTTGTCCATACTCCTTAATCAATCAAATCGTGTATTTCGCTTAAATTAAATTTATATCAGATGCTGCTGAAACTGGATTGGAATTTGTTTTGAAATATTTATGTAAATTTAGCAGATCTGAATAGTTCAGGCCTCGGCAGATATCTATGTGTGATTTAACCTATCTCATTATTTATTACTGTAGGGTGGTTAAAAACCTTCAGAGTAATTAATTGGTATTAGATAACATGTAAAATAGAAATAGAAATGTTTTCCTGAAAAGCTGTGTGTACATAGTGCAGTGGCTGTAAAAGAAATTTACACATTTTCATTTTTAAATATGCAAAAATGAATGATTTTTTTTTTAAACTCAGTGGCTCTGAGGTCAGAAAGAGTCCTTCTTCGGCTCATTACAGTGTCAGAGCATTATTTTCTTTACCTTCAATGTTCTTAGGTTTACATTATGTAGAAACACTGCTGCAATTCTCTAAGGAATTCTTTTGAACTAGGAAAAGAAACACAGGGAGTGACTGAGAATGACTTACCGTTTGCGTTTCCATCTGTACTCCCACAAAGCAGAGGCAGCAGAAGAAGCCACGAGATCATCTTTTTCCTTCCCTACAGTCCGTAATTACATTTGTTGTTGACCAGCAACAGAAATGAGTCTTGTCATTTGGACGGGCTTTTAAAAAAGCATCCTGATGAATTTGTGTGGCTTTGATGGCTCTGAGGGCTGAGAAGCAAGATAAAGACTGAGAGGTGAGGACAACGTTAGTGGTGTCATGTTACTTGAATCCAGCCACGCTCCCTTCAGGCACAGCCAATAATTCGGCTAAGCTCATGTCAACCGTGACATTCTTGTGGATTTCAAAGCAGGAAATGAAGCTGCTGTATTCTCGTAATCGTGACTCAGTGAGCAGAGCGGGCATGCAGGATAATGTTATTGGGAGAGTTAAACAATCAAACCCATTCACGAAACATCAGGCAAGCCAGATGTTTACCTACCCAAACTTTGAATTGAATGCAGTCCTGATCAACTTTAAAAGAACAGCAGCCCCAACAGAGAAAAAAACAACCCCCCCACCCCACCCAGAAAACGTCAGTCCCTGTTCCATGGGGTGTTTAGCTGCTTCATATCAGTCATCTGTTTGTGTTGCTTTGGATTCTGAGAGCCGCAGAGATAACATCAACGTAACTTCTCTTTGTCTAAAAAAACAAAACAGCCTAATTAAAATCCAGGTTTCCTCTCATCATTGCAACTACTACGTATATATTTTCAGCAGAAAAAAACCTCTTGACAAAACGCAAATGTTTGCATCCAGTTTGTTTCTTATAGTTTTAGTCATTTAGAATCTGTGCCGTTTAAAAAAAAGTTTTCCCAAATAGATTCTTCTTTTTTTTTCCAGATCCTTAATTAGTTTGCTCCTTATTATTTTCATCCAGAGTTTCCTTTGTACTTTACACCTACCTGTGCTCCCTGTCTTCGGCTGTTTTCACTCACATATTAACCTTTTCTGTGTTTAGTCTCTAGTTTCACTCTGATGCTGAGTCCAGACGAACCAACCAACCGACTGACCAACCGACCAACCAACCAATCGACCGACCAACCAACCAACCAACCAACCAACTGATGAACCAACCATCCGACCGACCAACCAACCAACCATCATACAGACCAACTGATCAACCAATCGACCTACCAACCAACCGACCGAAAAACCAAACAATCGACCGACCGACGACCCCCCAACCAACCAGCCGCCTAACCAACTGATCAACCGACCGACCGATCCACCCACCCACCCACCAACCAACATACCAACCGACCAACCGAGTGACCAACTGACCAACCAACCAACTGACCCACCAACCAACTGACCAACTGATGAACCAACCAACCGACTGACCCACCCACCCCCCAAACCGACCGACCGACCTAGCAACCAACCAACCAAACCAACCGACCAACCAACCAACCATCCTACAGGCCAACTGATCAACCAACCAACCGACCAACCAACCAACCATTCTACAGACCAACTGATCAACCAACCAATCGACCTACCGACCAACCGACCGAACAATCGACCTACCGGCCAACCGACCAACCAACCGAACAACCAACCAATCGACCGATCGACGACCCACCAACCAACCAGCCGCCTAACCAACTGATCAACCCACCGACCGACCGATCCACCCACCCACCAACCAACCAACCAACCGACTCACCAACCAACCAACCGACTGACCAACTGATCAACCAACCAACCAACTGACCCACCCTCCCACCCACCCGCCAACCGACCGACCTACCGACCAGCGTGTAGATAAGTACATCTCGTAATAGATTTCACAACCAACTGTACGCTCAGAATTTCTCAATATGTACTAAGCGCAATTTACACATTCTGCATTTTTCTGTGTTGTTCTCCAAATGTCATCACCATTCGGCTGATACTTCTGAGAAGAAAAAAAAAATTAACAAGCTTTTTTTTTAATCCTGTCCTTAAGAGTCAAATTTTGTGATAATGCGAAATGTTTTCTCTAGTTTGCACAGACTGCATGAATTCAAATAATCTCGCAAACACAATGTTTTATTTCATTTTATTTTTCACGCATCTGAAATGTATATGAAGTCTTTGGTCTTGCAAAAACAACTTCAATTTGACCATTACTGGAAGAGGAAAACAATAATTTTAGGCCAGACATAAGTCTGACCGGACTGATATGACTTCACTTCGGTTTTGAAAGTCGTAGGCCTATGCACACATCCTGCAAAGACAATGTAAATAATAATCTGCTTAAAAATGTATTCAATCAATCAATCAATCAATCAATCAATCAATCAATCAATCAATCAAT